GCGAGAGAGAGAGAGAGAGAGAGAGAGAGAGAGAGAGAGAGAGAGAGAGAGAGAGAGAGAGAGAGAGAGAGAGAGAGAGAGAGAGAGAGAGTGGTGTGGGGGTGGAGGGAGGGGAGAGAAAGACAAAGATACGTACAAACACTCACACACAATCTGTCGGTCTACATCAACAAGCTCTGCCGTCAACGACCAATGGTTTTGCCAACTCCCATTTGAGCGGGGTCAAAATCCAGTTAACTGATTAGTTTATTAAACGTTCGAACACGTCTTTGAGCTGATGACCGCAATGCCTCGGTCTGACAAACTGATGGACCACACCATTCAAGAATGCAGTTTTAGTTTGATACTATTTACTGCCGAAGTGTTACTCCAAATAGATATATATAACAATATATTATTTGATCTACTCATTAGCAACGTGAAAAATGCGACCCAGGAAAACGAACAAAAAGAGAAAATAAGAGGAGGTGATGGGGGTGGAGAGATAAAAATGTTATGAGTTGTTTTGTATACTGTGAGTATAAGCCTGACAACGACGTGATGACTTTTTCACCTATTTAAATTCAAACGTCGAAAAACATTAAAACATACTATATAATATCCTTAAACACTTTCTTGAGAGTAAGGGAGGATCAACTTTGAGATAATCACTTACGGGATCTTAGCATGACTGAGTTTTTAAAAAAATCGCATATTGAGTATCATAACACTGTTAATTTCTCAAATATTATTTATGTTGACTGCTCCTTAGTTTAAACCGGTTGATAACAAACTGGGTATCCCCTAATCCAGTTGATAAGAAAACAGGTGCCCCCCCCCCTCCTTCCACTTCACAACGTGCCCAACAACAGTCAGTAAATGTACCGTGTGCAAAGAACTAGCCGCACCAAACAGCCAAACAGGGCCGTGTGCAATATCCCCGTCCTTTACCTTTACCGCCCACAATCGAACAAATCATTTTTCACTTTACTTTCCTTCTACACCCCAACCGCGCATAGCTCACTTTATACTGCGTACATAAACCCTACACAATTCGTGTTGTGAGGAGACTGCTCACATCTCTACTCAATCACCCTCAAGTATAGAATATCGATCTTTACCTAAGAAGTCCAGATCTTTATAACAAATCAAGAGCTAGCCTACGTCGTTCTCTACTCTCTGCAAGTTTTCTACTCACAAGAGAAGCGCCTCATCCAGAAGAGTGCATCAATTCCCTCTTCGGGCATTTACTCAACTAAGTTCCAGAACCATCAACAACCATGGCACCTAGATTCGTGAGTATGAGAAGTGACCATTATTATACGCGAGGGGCGCGTGCTTGCTTGGCTTTACTCCTGCCTTTTTCTGTCGTTTAATAAAAGAAAAAGATAACACCGTATCAGTTTGTTGTAAGCTGTGTGAAAATGTTATTATTATTGTTATCATGGACCTATTATTA